TTGTAAATATTAACCATTCTCTTACTCACTGGAATAATTTTATCTCAGATACCTACAAGAAAAAACAAAATTAAAGGCAGCATGTAAGTCAATTTTATGTTTTATGTGTCAAAATTAGAATGTTCCTCAAGATGTAGCCCGATGATGTTTCACAACATATTGCTGACAACAGATTCTAACATTCAGTTGGTAATGGTATTTTTGATACAGATTATGAAAGGAACTAACAACCAAGAATTTGCAACAGAAAATGAGCAACTTTCCCCCCAGCCACTTACTTAAAATCACACTTTTAAATTTATTAGTGACATGCACCAAAAACCAGAAGTGCATATGCAAAAATATTCCTCAGTTCACTACCACCACTCTTCCATAGCAACCTCTAAACAAACAGAATTATCTGGTTTCCTTCACTAACTATTTTTGTCTTCACCCATGCAACAATTACCCTTCACTTCAACATCAGGAAGTCCTGTTTTTCACTGCCATAGACATACTCAATTTTTGGAAAGGCCCATTTTTTGTAGACAGAGACTGTCCCTCTGCAACCACCATGTAAATTTCAGGCCCTTTTGCATTTAGTGAGTCTTGCTGAGATGGTGCTTGAATTAGAGCAACAGTGAAACCCTTGCGAGTGTTTAAATGTGACCCAAGGAGAAATAGGAGGAGCCTAAAGAAGCCAAGGTGGCTCCATAAACAGCTTTCTAAAGACTCATTTAGGAAAGGAGGGCCTTATATAAACAAACTAGGAAAAAGGCTTGTTGTGGAAATAAATACAACGACCTCTAGAAAGAGGCTCTGGGCGGATGCCCCGGCCTTGGACACTCAGTGTCAATTTGTTGTGGTGACCTCAGCAGAGTATAATGACACTGAGTCCACCATTTTCTCCAGAGGAACTGATCTCTGCTACCTAAAGAACAGTTGTAATTTTAAGTGATCTTCAGCCCTCACCTGGAGATTGGCAATGATGATGGTTCCCCAGAAGGGAATAGTTGGTTTTGAGGGCGGAGTCTATGGCTTTGTACCTGTCTGAGGTCCCACGCCTCCTGAAACCTCACCCTCTCTAGGCTCCATCCCTCACCTCTCCAGGAATTTCCCACCTGGAGTTGGCAACCCTATCTCCTTCCCAGCCAACCATCAACCTACCTTTATTTCCCCTCTCATTTCTTTACGCTTGTATATTTTTCAATAGTATATTACAGACACTGTACATCTCCCGTCTTTTTTCATCCAAGCCTGTAAAGAGTCTTGTGGCAACTTAAAGAGTAAATTTTACAGTGGATGGGTGCAGAACAGCTTGAAAGTTGCGATTTTGGTAGGAAAATGGGCCTTGTGCATAGGAAACTAAGTTATCTCCAAAAATATTACACAAATAACTGGTTCCAACCAGTGTTCCCTCTAAACTGAGTCAGTGTGAGCTAGCTTACAGTTTTTTAGCCTCCGGCTCACACATTTTTGCCTTCGCTCAGGAAGGAGGGCCCCAGAGCAAACTGATTGATGCAGTAGCCAAATGGCTCGCTCACAACTTTAATGCCAGTAGCTCACAAAGTAGGATCCTTGCTCACAAGACTCCACAGCTTAGAGGGAACATTGGTTCCAACATAACCCCTTTCACAAGCACTTGGGATCACTTTTTTAAAGTGCTTACCCAAACATTAAACATTAAACTAAAGTAATCTCTGGAGAACCATCCCCTCTCTCAAATTAGGAAGTACAGAAAAAGGAAGGAACTATCAGAGACTATTTATGGTTTCTTACATCTCTTTCAAAATGCCTACAACAACTGATTCCACCTCAGAATCACTCTCCCAACCTGTAGGTCATTACTAAGGCCATTAGGAGGAGGAGGAGGAGGAGGAAGAAGAACAGCAGCCTACTATCTTGCCATCATGCCTTGTCCCCAGTCCAGCTGAGAACCACCTTCTGCCCAGAAGTATTTTGTATTGCATTTTAATTATTTGCACTGGGTTTTAATTTCTGTAAGCCATTACACTTGGGATCTTTGGGCTGTTCACACAAAGGGGGAAACTCTGGCTAATTGGAAGACACTAATTGTGCCCATGCAGTCCTTGCCCAATGGATGAAGAGCAGACAAAGGTAAAAAATTGGTACCTCCATGTTTTATGGGGAAATGGTCCCCAATCTATTTCTTGGCATAGTTGTTTTATGAGTCTCAAATAATGCCACTGGTAAACATTGCTCAGTACACAATCATGCCATCTAATGTACTTTGTATGTTGTATCAATATATTTGATAAAATATACTGGCAACAATGAAACTTCCATACGTAAATAAATATATATATGTATACACACACACACACATATATCTGCTACTGCTTAGGGCAGGGGTGGCCAAACTGTAGCTCAGGAGCCGCATGCAGCTCTTTTAAACATATTATGTGGCTCCTGGCAGGGCAGCTGGGGAAATGAAGAAGAGGCATGCCTCCCTGATTGGTCTTCCCTTCCCCAGCTAGTGGTCCCCTCCCTGGGTAGGCTTGGGGTGGGGGGAGCAGAGAAAGAAAGCAACTTTAACATTAAATGCATTCTCAAAGCCCACCCCTCCCCCACCAGCCAGCTTGGAGAAGGCACTTGTCTCTTTAAATCCCTCTGCAGAGCCAGCTGGCATGGGGGCAAGGGGAGCTTGGAGGATGCATTTAAAGTTAAAGTTGCTTTCTTTCCACCTCTCCCTCCCCTGTCCCCCCATCTATTTGCTTTCTTTCTACCTCTTTCTTTCTTTTCACCTTTTCTCTCTCTCCCTTCCTTTCTCCCCCCTCATGTATTTGTTTTGTTTCTCTCTCTTTCCACCTCTTTCATTCTTTCTTTCCACCTCTCTCTCTCTTTCTTTCTTAGACAAATAAATATCATTGGACATAAATATCATTATCAATATCTGTTTTAACCCATTTTGTTGTTGTTTTTTGGCAGTCTCATTTAATATTAATAAAAAGCAAATCTGCATATTTTCCAGTAAAAATGTGTGTGTACTATTTGTTCATGTCTTGTGGCTCTCATTCATCTGATGTTTACTCTATGTGGCTCTTATGTTAAGCAAGATTGGCCACCCCTGGCTTAGGGCAAGGCCTATTCAGCTGATTTGGAGCCAGCCAAATTGCTCTGTCAGAAACAGCCAGCAAGTCAGGTAGATCTTTACCCTCTCCTTGCTTCATTGTGGGAAGGATGCCATCACTGGGCTGGGAACATTTTCACCAAGGCAATGTGTCATAACTGGTTCTGAGTGAACTAGGAAAGGCCTCATCCAGGAAGATAACCCACTGGCACCCTGAGCAGCATATGTACATTTGTACTTTTTGTGTTTATTATATTTAATAAGATGCTTACAATACAGCATCGGATATGTTGTTTTTATTGTGATAAATAGTGTGTTGATGAATTGTGAATTATCTGTGTTTTATGAGCATTTTTTTCTGGATTCCAAATTTCTCTTTGTGCCTGGATAACATTTCTACCTAAAATTCTGGAGAAAGCTGCCAAACAATAGAGAATTTCTGGCTTGATAGAGAAATTATTCCAACCTGATGTAAGATAGTAGTAAATTTCCAAAATTAAATTATGTTCCAAATGATACTGTTTGAAAATGTTTATTTTAATTCCTTCATATGTGGTGGCAATTGCCCACATGCCATAAATTACTGGAATAATATATGTGAAAAACTGAATAGAGGGATAGGGATTAATGGTCCTTTCAATTCAGAGGGTTTTTTAACTGAACTATGTATTTGTGATATATCAGGAAATTCTTCTGAATCTTATTGCCACTGTGAGACTCGTTTTTGCTTGGTATTGGAAACAAAGTATGGCACTGGGTATGCAGGAGTGGGATGAGAAAGTTAAAGAAGTGTATATAATTATGAAGCTCACCATTTTACATGAATGGAAGTGTTGTTTGTCTTTTGATCACTTATGGACTTCTGTTATTAATCAAATTGAATTAAGTTTGTAAATATGTTGGATACTTCTGTAAGATGATATTTTATTTCTAAACAAAGTATTAACACAAACGGAAATATTTATTTTAATTCCAGATGTGTGAGGCTGATTGTAATTACTCACTGGTAAGAGAAAACCATTCTACCGTATTCATTAGCACATTCTCAATTATTGTTTTCCCTGACATATCACTCAGATATATTCCCCAGCCAGTTGATGGCAGCTGCTGATATATCACTCAGATCAGGGAATTGGAAGTGTGTTGGTCCTAAATTTTGGCTAAAATGGCATTTGAAACAGTTTCTGGCCTACGTTTTGGCTAAAATTTAACTATAGAGTACCAGATTTATATCTCAAGAATCTTCAAAGCATGAATTCTGGGCATTAAAAGCATTCCTGGGTGGGATCCACTTTTACTTTCTCTTTGAGGACCACACACACACGTCCAGTACTTTGACGACACTGAAGTGCACTGTCATGCCCCTACAGGATTCCCCTGAGGGCCAATGCACTGCACAACTTCTCTAGACGGACGACACTCCCATTTGGGACTGAACATGTGTGTAGGCTAACGTGAGCATACGTTCTGATCTCCGTACACGCATGTTGATTCCGACAGTCTTCGAGGCAGAAATCTGATAAGGCGTGCAGCGGCCTCTATGCCTTCTTCCCAGAGGGCGAGGGAGCCACCCTCCTTCCCTGGCCGGTGAGAATCCCCGGGGCCGGCCTTTGCCTAGGCGTGTCTCCCAGCCCGCCATCCTCTGGGCGCCGCAGCCACCCGGGTGGAAAAAGTGACCCTCCGGCGTTTCCTCCACCCAACACCGGGCAGCAAAAATCCTGGCCGTCAAGTCAAGGAGGCCCAGCACGCCGGGCTGCGCCACCTTCCCGCCGCACCCTGCTCCGGCCGGCGACACCGTTATGTTAGTCCCCTCCCCGGCCCGCCGCCTGCCTTCAGCACCGGGACAGGGCGGACAAAAGGAGAGGAAGCCGCGGGCCAGGTGGAAGGGGAAGCCCGGGATTCCCGGGCGTGGCACAATAGCCCTACTCACCATCGGAAGCCGAAGCCATCTCGATGAGAGTCTCGTCGTCTTTTCTCCCCAGCCGGTTCATGGCAGCCGCGGCAGAGGGCTGGCAGCCTTCGCCAAGCAAGCTGCGAGCGGCTAGGGGAAGCCAAGCGCCTCAGAGGCCGGGCAAAGGAGAGAGAGAGGCAGAGCTCGAGCGCACGCCCCCACGCTTCCCTCTCCGGCTGCCTCGCTCCTCCCTTGGCGATCCTTTCCCCTTGGCTCCCTGGGAATGTTGCTCGGGGGCGTCGCCGGGCCGTTAGACCCTGACAACAGAAGAAGCCGATAAACGGGGGCTCAGGGTCCCGCTTGTTTCGCTTGGCCCCTGGAATCCTAAGGCAAAGGACATGCTGCGTTTCTGTCGGTCGAACCGAAGAGAGCGGGGGAAGGGAGCGTTTGCTGGGGCTGGGGGAAGACGTGTGATTCCTTAAAAGGAAAGTGCCTCGCTACTAGGGGCCCTAAGGAGGGAGAGAAAATTGGTGAGTCAGGGTCTGGGCACGCTGACACAATTTGGGATCAGATGACTCGTGTGGATGACGTCACGGAGCAAAGGAAGGGCGGGGGATCCTGGCGCGCGGCGGTCTCCCCCGGTGTGCTCCTCGCCCTTTTCCTGTTGAGTCTGTCGGTGCAAGAAGCAAGCTCTGTAGCAATGAAGGCATTTGCGCGAGCAGAGCAGCAGCCGAGTTTGTGAGCACCACCGCCCCTTCCTCGCCTTCGGAAAGTGAACATTATTTTATTTTTATTTAAGGGGGGGGGATTAGAAGTGTGTTGTGGCATGCATCCTTGGTTCGAGTTTTAAAAAAAACCAACCCTGCCTCAATGGAGTTTTAAGTGGATGAACTGCCAGCTGGAAGAAAATGAAGAGGGTTCATAACACTTCCTCTGTCTGTGTGTGTGTGTGTGGGGGGGGTGGCTATCAAAATGTGTCTCCCACTCTCTCACCCCAGGTTTTTTTTCACCTTCAAGATAAACTGACTGAAATCCATTTACAAGTTTTGAAGAGGCCTATTTTTTGGAAAAGGTTGCAAGAAAGGCAAGAACAGATCCCCAAGACCAACAAAGTATACATGAGAACTGAGAGACTTAGCATGTGTAGATGCACACTTCCTCAGATACACTGAAACAGATTTCCTCAAGTGTTACATATAGGTAACATATAGGACACATGGTAAAGAGGCCCTGGACATATTCCACCAGGAATTCAATGACTTTCACCCCACCATCAACCTGACTGATCCAATCTATGCAATAAATGCATTTTCTGGAGACTACTGTAAAAATACACAGTGGACACATAGAGGGTGCTTCAGACGGGGCATTTACAATGGTATAGGTGCTGGTTGGAATCGGTGTACTTAACGGCATTCACACGGAGAACATCTGCCTTCCGTCCCTAACCATTGCAAAGAGCTTTAAACCGTTGTATTCTGCCACTAGGTCCCCAAGTGGTGGTATCCTGAGTGCAACAGTTGTAATCGCTTTACCCCCCCCCCCATCTGATCGCTCTCCACCATTGTAGAGCCACTTCCGTTCGGAAGCCCAAGGCTTCCAATTTTCGACCGCCTTTCTTTTTTTAGGTCGGCAATATGTGCTTGGGCGAAGCTTCGCCCCGGCGTTTTTTTGTTTTTTTTTAAAGGTCCTTAGATTAACGTTTTAGAGGAGTCCGGGACCTCAGGGAGGCCAGTTTGCTCTTTAAACTTTAAAGGTAAGTCCTCTCTTCAGGGCATGCTTTTCTGGACGGGGTGTTTTGCACATGCGCAAAGATCGCCATTCTGTGAATGGCTGCCTATGCGCATGTGCAAACTAAGTTAAAAAAAACCAACAAACCGCCGACGCCCGCTGTGTGTAAACAGGCATACAGCAATGAGCTCCGCAGACAGGATGTAAGTGTGATTGCGTTTCAGCCGGCATAAACTGCAACGGTTCCAACTGGTACAGTTTATGCCGGCTGAAACGCCCCGTCTGAACGCACCCAGACACTACCTTATATTGGAAACCTACTGACTAACATATCTACATGCTTCCAGCTACCAAATGATCCATTGTATACAGCCAAGCTCCACCCTACAGCCACATCTGCTCCAGTATTACAGACAGAGATTCTCACCTGAGGGGTCTGTAAATAGTTCCTTTTGGAACTAACATATCCACCTGATGATGTCAAGAAACAGGTAAACAAAGCCAGAATGGTACCCAGAGAAGATCTATTGCAAGACTGGCCCAGAAGAGACAATAACAGAACACCACAAGTGGTCACGTACAGCTCTCATAATAGTTCAACACATCATCAGTGATTTACAACCTCTACTGGATAACGACAGTTCTCTTTCACAAGTATGGGGGGGCAATCCTTTTCTTGCACACAGACAACCCCCCAGTCTTAAATAACTCCTCATCCACAATAATCTATATATCTAATAGCGAAAGGCGCCCCCTGCGTGCAGATACCTAAATCCGCGCATCGGGGACACCGGGGGGGGGAGATTTTTGTGCACACTTGGGGCAATCCCCAGGTGTGCACAAAAATCTAAAAACCTGAAAAAAATATTGGGGGATACTTAAATCCCCCCAAAAGTGACAGAGCATCCCCTGCACATGCGCAGGGGATGCTCTGCAAACTCCCTTGCCGCCGCCGCATGGGGGGGAAGAGAGCAGCGAGGCCCGAGTGGCAAGCCGCTCAGCCCTCGCTTCGGAGCCGGGGGGGGAGAGGCAAGGGGGGGGTAGATCAAGTGGGGTGGATGG